AGTGGGGCTATGATGTGCCAGGTGGTGCAGTTGGCCGAGGTGCAGCAGGCCAAGGCCTGAGGGCAGGAAACCCGGGGCAGGCGTGCCAGTGAGACTCACCCAGAAGCTCTCCCTGGGGCAGGAGGGAGGCAGACCCCCTGGGAGCTGGACAAAGACAAGGAAGCTTAGCAGGAATCCTTCCCACCATGATGAATGAACCTGGGTGTCGCTAAACTCCTGGAGACTGTCACTGAGAGCCCCCCCCCCCCCCCCCCCCCCCCCACTGTGAGGTTTGGCAGGCACGCACCATGGAAGCCAGGAAAAGCAAGCACACTGGCACCAGGAGGGCAGGCCCTCCCTCCTGTGGAGTCCCTCCAGTTCCTTCCAGTGAGAGCCAAACACTGTGCCAACCTGCAAAGGAGGGCACAGGGAGGGCCCAGCTCCAGGGTCACACAGCAGGGCTGAGAAGGGTGCGCTGGGCACGGAGAGGCAAGACAGGGATAGCTGGAGACGCCGTGTGGGGGCCACACACCTCTGCACGTGCACATGCAATCGTCATCCCCCAACCATGAAGCACAAAACAGGGCTCAACAAATCTAAACAGAGGGAAGTCGGCAAAGTAAATTCTGAGACCACAATGGAATTAAAACCAGAAACCAGAAACAACCAATTCTGGAGGAAAACCCTAAATGTTTGGAAATTAAACCATACTTCCAAATAACCCACGGACCAAAGAAATCACAAGGGAAATCAGAAAGAAAAACGTATCACGTCAACATATACGGGGTGCAGGAAGAAACAGAAAGCTCTCCTTCCCGGAGGGGCCCTCGTGGCTGGTCAGCTGCTACTGGCTGCTGGCAGGAGGCCTCAGTTCTCTGCCATGGTATCCTGTGTAGGCTGGCTGAGTGCCCTCGTGACCTTGCGGCAGGTTTCCCCCAGGGTGAGTGATCTAAGACTGGGTGAGCCAAGCTTTTGGTAAGGTGGCCTCAGAGAACAGGATCAAGGTTAGGTCTGGATCGTAGGTGGGCAGCATCACTGGCTCCTACACCAGTCTGTAGGAACCGCAGGTCGGCCCCCTGCAAAACTCCACACCACACACTGTGGGCCTTCCGAGTCGATCATAAGCCACCACAGTCGCGAACACGAGGCATGAGGATGCACTGCGTTTTCCACGCTGGAGTCGGGGTCTGGGATGAAGGACTGGCAGGATCTTCTAAGAGAAACGTGCATTAACTGAGAGCCAGCAATTCCACGTGCAAGTACACGCCCAACAGAAATTGCTTACATATGTTCCAGAAGACAGATGCTAGCTGGGGGCGGTGGCTCATGCCTGTAATCTCAGCGATTTGGGAAACCAGGGCAGGAGGACTGCTTGAGGCCAGAAGTTCGAGACCAGCCTGGGCAGCAGAGCAAGACACCATCTCTACAAAAACTACAAAAATTAGCCAGCATGCTGGCACACACCTGCAGTCCCAGCTACTCAGGAGGCTGAGGTGGGAGGATCGCCCGAGCCCAGGAGGCTAAGGTTGCAGTGAGCCAAGGTCATACCACTGCACTCCAGCCTGGGCAACAGAGCGAGACTGTCTCTAAAAATTAAAAAAAAAAAACAGAAGACAGGTGCCAGCATGTTCATCACTGCACTATTCCTAACAGCCGAACTGTGGAAACTACCCAAACGCCCATCAATAATAGAATGAACGCGCTGTGAATTTTCACATAATGGAGTACTTGGCATAGCACTGAGAATGAACAATCCACAACCACAAGCAACAAGGGGGATGAGCCTCAGAGGGTGAAGCAGAAGCAGCCAGAGCAACAGAGGGAAACTGAGGTCAGGCCGGCCAGCACGCGTGTGCAGTGCCTAGAAGGGAACATGGGCATGTGGGCTTCTCAGCAGGTGCTAAGTGTCCTGCTTCTCGTGGGTAGTCACACACGTGCATTCAGTTGCTGAAATCCCAGTTCTAGCATTTCACATGCACTTTTCAGATGTACAGTACGCATACTGTAAGCAAAGTGGAGAAAGAGGGGCTGGGCATAGTGACTCACGCCTGTAATCCCAGCACTCTGGGAGGCCAAGGTGGGGGGACTGCTTGAGCCTGGGAGGTTGAGGCTGCAGCGAGCTGAGATCACACCACTGCACTTCAGCCTGGGTGACAGCGTGAGACAGTCTCAAAGAAAGTGCTTAGAATTAAATACAACAGGTTGGGTGCAGTGGCTGACACCTATAATCCTAGCACTTTGGGAGGGCGAGGTGGGAGGATCACCTGAGGTCAGGAGTTGGAGACCAGCCTGGCAAACATGGCAAAACCCCATCTCTACCGAAAATACAAAAATTAGCCAGGCATGGTGGTGGGTGCCTGTAATTCCAGCTACTTGGGAGGCTGAGGTAGAATAATGGCTTGAGCCGGCCGGGCGCGGTGGCTCAAGCCTGTAATCCCAGCACTTTGGGAGGCCGAGGCGGGCGGATCACAAGGTCAGGAGATCGAGACCACAATGAAACCCCGTCTCTACTAAAAATACAAAAAATTAGCCGGGCGCGGTGGCGGGCGCCTGTAGTCCCAGCTACTCAGGAGGCTGAGGCAGGAGAATGGCGGGAACCCGGGAGGCGGAGCTTGCAGTGAGCCGAGATCGCGCCACTGCACTCCAGCCTGGGCAACAGCGTGAGACTCCGTCTCAAAAAAAAAAAAAGAATAATGGCTTGAACCCAGGAGGCGGAGGTTGCAGTGAGCCGAGATCACGCCACTGCACTCCAGCCTGGGCAACAGAGCGAGACTGTCTCAAAAAAAAAAAAAAAAAAAATACAATGACCACATTTTCTTAATTAAAGAGGTAGAACAAACTCCAAGGAATGAATGTCCCAAAAGTAGAATACACAGAAACTAAAAAATAACAGAAGGGAGCAGATGAAATTGAAGGCGTGAGATCCTCGCAGATGGCAATCAGGGTGGCGACGTCTCACAGAACAGACCCAGCTGCGAGGCAGTCACAGCGGACAGAAAGGCGGTGGGTACTGCTGTTCTGGGTGAAGGGGCAAGAGACAGAACCCTAAACACATGCAGAGCTGGGTTCCACCCACACAACTGTACGAGGTATTTCCGGGAGACTTCGGGCAGGTGAACAGGAACCAGTCTATCAGTCAAGGTACCAGCAAGAAGGCGGCTGCACCATCCACTGAGACACACAAACGGCTACCGGCAGAGGGACCAACTCAGGACCAAGGCAGGATGCTGAGGAATAGCAGGAAGCCGGCACCGCTGGGGAGGAAGCAGAGCCTCGGAGAAGCCCTGCAGTCCTCATGGAAAGACGCGGCCCTGTGGGGAGGCCATTCGGTCTCAGTCCAGGCCCCTCCGCTCTGCGGCCATAGCACAAAGCAGCCACAGATGAGACGTGGACAGGCAGGCATGGCTGCATCCATAAAAGTTTATTCTCAGGCAATGAAATGTGAATTTCATGATTTTCATGTCACGAAATATATTTTTAATTTGTTTTCAACCATTTTTAAAACGTAAAAAAGCCATTCCCAGGCCATCTATCAGGCTGCGGGCGGGATGCAGCGCATGGGCCTGTCTGCCAGCCCCTATCTTAGGTGAAGATGCCAGCAAGGCAAACCTGAACCTCTCCTAAAACTAAGACTTTCAAAGCAGACTATGAACGAGAGAGCGTGCCCTGCGCCAGATGCCCCAGCAGCGTGAAGGAGACCAGGCTGCTCGGACAGGACGGTGGTCCAGCGTGGCCCCTGCCTTCTAAAACCCCTGATCCCCAGCAGAGAGGAGTGGGCCTCAGCTTTGCAGACAGCACTGTTTCCAGATCAGTGTTAAAAGGAAAACAAGGCACTTATGAAAAATTTGAAGCATTCCAGCTTTTGATACACAAAAGGATTCTCAGTCCCCAGCGACACCCCACGTCAGAGTCATCGCCAGCGTGAGCCTGTTCCTGTGCGGAGGCTTCATCACTGCAGAGCAGGCAGGAGCCGGCCTGAACGGATCACGTGGCGCGCCCAAAAGCCTGCCCATTGCAGAAGCCTCTTCCCAGTCCTCACAGTGCGCGCCTCACTCGCACACGGTGCAGGCACCCAGGCGTTTCGCTTGGTACATTATGTTGCTGCTAAACATTCCAGGAGGTGGCAAAGGTTCATCCTTGCTGACTGGTGACTGAAATTCAGCAACATCCCTGCGGCTCTGCAGTGTGCGCCAAGGTCAAATCAAATCACCACGACGTCCTCAATCACCTCCCTGTAAACTGGGTGCCAGCCGGGCCCGTGTGCTCACACTTCCTGAAACAAGTTCACCGTGTGCCCCAGCGCTGCCAGACAGAGCTCCCTGTGACTCCAAAACACATTTCTCACTTCCCACAGGGGAGCCACTCTCCAGGAGCAGCTCCTGAGCACAGGGGTATGGCTGGGGCTGGGGCTGGGGCGGGCTGAAGCGTTCATGCTGCGTTTCAACAGCCTGTGCGGCGAGCAGCTACTGCGGGGCAGCGCATCACCTGGACGCTGAGATGGCGGGAACAACATGAAAAAGTCCACTGTGCCAGAAACATCGGCCCACAGATGCTCCTAGAGGCAGACGCAGCAGACGTGAAGGGCAGATGAGAACAGCAGAAACACAGCTGCTGCCACCACAGGCTCACACGCGGCCTCCAACGTGAAAAGGAAGTGCTTCGAGAGTTTCCACTCCACCGGTCTGGCTTCCCTTCAACCAGAAAGGGGGCACAGGCACCCAGCAAGAGCCTGTGCTGGTGACACAGCATGTTCTTTCTAGAGCCCGGGGGACAGTCCCGTCCTCTGAGCTGGTCACAACTGACCTCACCTTTTCCTTCTTGAAGGGAGATGCCAGGATGCAGGGGAACAAGTGAAAAAGCTTTTCCTAATTTGAGGTGAGAGGCACCACTGACCGCCACAATCAGCAACTCAAGGTCGCCTCCCCGGGCCTCATCTTCTTGGCCTGTCCGTTGGGCCCGGGCGGGGGACTCCGGCGCCGCTGCTTCTTCTCCAGCTGCTGCTGCAGTCTCTCCTCTTTCTTCTTCAGGTAGGAGGTCATGTTGTCGAACGTGGCCTTGTAGAGACTGCTGAAGTTGGCGTCCGCACCAGCAGAGCCTGTGACGGGGGAACAAGGACAGGTGCCAGGTGGGGCAAGAACATGGGACTCGGCCGCCACAGCGGGCCCCCTGCAGCAGGGAGTTACTTTGTGACACCCGGAGTCCTCGGTGGAGCGTGGAGGGCATCTTCTGGGATGGTTCCCCACGGTACCCACCTCCTGGCACCCACACCCTGGCTGGACCTGAGGACTGCCTCCTAACAGAATGGGGCAAAGACGAAAGAATGTATCGGAAACCAGGGCACCAAGGCTGGGCCTCCACCCTGCCAGCACTCTCTGTTCACGCGCCCAGAGAAAGCCACTACTGCACCATGCGCCGCCCACTGAAGCAGCCCAGGTGGCCAGGGATTGGGAGCAGCGGCCTCTGGCCAACAGCCAGAGAGGCCCCCTGTCCTGCCGACAACCCGGACTGAGCGAGGTCGGGCCCTGCCTGGTGAAGTTGAGGTGGCCACCTGCAGAGACACAGCTCAGCGGAGTCCAGACCCCTGACCCACAGCAACAGTGAGACGCTCAGGGTGGGGTGCCTTAAGGCATCGAGTGTGGGATAACATGTTCTGCAGCCACAGGGAATGGACATGGATTTCATCTACTTTATCTAACTGCCAAGGACTGGGGGGCAATGACTGACCACAGGCACAGAGACGGCCTCAGCCTGGCCAGGAAACCACAGGCCTAGCCGGTAACTCACGCACCAGCGATGGCCTGAAGCCCGTTCATCCGGCAGGTGGCGCAGCCTCCCCGCCCCTCCAGTGACTCTGCTGCTTGTGGGACACTCAAGAAGCAGCCCTCCCCCATCCCTCTCCCAACAAGGCCCCCAAGTCTGCGTCGGGAACGTGCCACCCTATCTATGAAACGTCTCAGGAGAGCGAGCCCAGGCTTTGGCCTGAGAATGTTGTGCAAGATGACACTCAACAGGTCCAGGCTACCTGTGGCCTAGAGCACGGGGGCCATGAGCACTGCAGATGCCCAGCCATGAGCACTGCCGCCTGCAGTCCCTGACACAGCCGGTGACAGGCCCACTCGGAGTGTTCCTAAAGCAGATCCCAACCACACTGGGGGGGCCCAACCCTGCCTGTCTCAACCCTCAACATCCTAAGCAAAGCAGGAGGGAGAGAAGCCTCAGAGGCAGAGCCAGTGCGCCACCACCACTCAGGAAGCTTGGCAGAAGGCGATCGGGCCACCGTCAGCGGAAATTCCTCCGACCTGCGTTTGATTCCCTCCAGAGCTCCAAGGAACCTCAGTGCTCACTGCAGCGGGTCTGGCTTTGCAAGACTTCCTCAGAGCAGCAACTTCTTGTCGTGAATGAGGTACTAGGATTCCGTGCTGGGCTAACCCATCCTGCAGACACCATCGCCTCCAAGACAGCGCAGTGCTGGCGCAACGGCGCACCCAGAACAATGCGCCATGTCCCCCGAAAATGTTCGTCCAGCTCCTCCCTCAGCCCGGCTGCTCTCCTTCCTGCAGCCGCAGCCACACAAGTTGCTGACCAGATTCCCTCCCCTCAGCTGAATGTTCCCGTCAGGACAGTGACCATCCAGCCCCTGCTCAGCCTCCTGAAGACCCCCACGCCTCTGGCTGGACCCCCACCTGACCTCCCAGTGGGGTCCTGCACTTGCTGACGCACGCTGTAGTGGGATCAATTCCCTCAACACCATGGACCAGGCCCGAGGCAGCACAGCACCCGTTCCCTCTGGGAGCCACCAGATGCCAGCCCTGCCCTGGGGACCTTCAATGCCCAACTCTGAAGGCAGGTGGGGAGCGGGGGATGCTGCTCAGACCCTGAGCCCCCGGTTCCTGCGTGGCTCTCGTCAGCCTGACTCCCATGGGGGGGGTCCTCCTTCTCCTGTGCGCCACCCTCCTCCTGCCCCGGCCCGCCTTCTGGATGGGTACACATGCTGACCCTCCCTCTTTATCTGCACACCGGGTCCCTCGGGCGGGTCACAGTGTGTGCTTCTGCTTTCTCTGGGGACCGCGCTGGGTGTGACCCCCAAGGGCAGCCTGTACCTGTGCTCTCACCTTCCAGCATGGCCCAGTTCCCACGAAGAACACCAGAGACTTTCTTTAACACGGCGCTCTCAGGAACAGACTGCAGGTGACAAACAGAAAACCTTCACCACAAAGAGGCAGGCCTGGAAACCCAGCACCAGGACGCAACACACACTGGCCACAGAGGCTTGCAGGGGAGGTCCCCGCCTGGTGCCTGGTGACCCCCATTCGCCTTCCATGGAGACCCGGGGAGGCAGCACCCACAGCTGGCCCATGATGCCAGGGTGAGCTCTTCACACCCAGCTCATCAACCTCAGGGTTCCAGCAGGTGCGACAGGCACCCACTGGGGACATCATGTGGCCCGCCACTTCTCAGGTGAAAAAAGCTAGATGGCTTAAAAGTGCTTCCAGGCCAGGTGCAGTGGCTCACGCCTGTAATCCCAGCACTTTGGAAGGCCAAGGTGGGTGGATCACCTGAGGTTGGGAATTCGAGACCAGCCTGAACAACATGGAGAAGCCCGTCTCTACTAAAAATACAAAATTAGCCGGGTGTGGTGGCGCATGCCTGTAGTCCCAGCTACTCGGGAGGCTGAGGCAGGAGAATCACTTGAACCCAGAAGACGGAGGTTGTGGTGAGCCAAGATCGTACCACTGCACTCCAGCCTGGGCAACAAGAGTCAAACTCAGTCTCAAAGAAAAAAAAAAAAAGAAAAAGAAAGTGCTTCCAAAGTGCTCAAATGAGCTTTAGTAAATGGGCACCTACTCCACTCAACTACACAGCAACCCCGTGAGACACGGCGGGCAGGGGCATTGCTCCCACGTTACCAGGAGCGACACAGACAAGGTACAGGGCTCGCCCTGTCCCCCAGCAAGGAAGCAGCTCAGCCCACCGCCCTTGCCCCCTCCTCTACCTGGGGCTCTACGTGCTCCTAAATGCTCAGCCCGTGCCCCAGGCCCGAGGCTGTGCTAACCCAGCCTGCAAGTGTTAAGTCTCACACACCCTAGCCACACTGAGTGCCAACTTCATCACTAAGTGTGGTGTGGGGGGCACACACTCTCCTGAAAAAAGAATTGCTACAGACATCACCACACGGGATAAGCCAGCCAGGCACCCGCTCCCTTCACCCACAGTGGAAGCCCCAACCACTGCCCCTCAGGACACAGACCCTGGGCCCCAGAAGTGGCTGAGTTGAAAAAGACTCATGTTTGGACCCAAAAACCACAGCTGCCGCCCCACACCCCGAGGCTCGTGGAACAGGAGGGCACAGGACATGAAGAAGGTGCCGAGTCTCACCTGCCACTGGCCGTCCACAGGCCTGTAGAGCACCAGGGGTGCTTCCTGGCAGTCCTGGAGCACCCACAGGCCCTGGGTCTCCTCGAAAGCCATGTCCCACACTTGGTGCTGGAGCGCCAGCTGCTGCCTGTACACCAACTGCTGTCTGCGGGCGTCCAGCTGGAAGATGTAGACCACAGGAGTGCTTGCCATGAAGAAAGAGAGCACGATTACTAGGACTGCAGGCCCACAGTCACCGCTCTGCAGCCAGCACCCCAGACGGCGCAGCCCTCACTGGGGCCACCTCAGGAGAGCCTGCGCTAAAAGCTCCAGCTGCGCCACTCCCAAGTGCCAGCGCCGGGGAAACCATGGGGTGATGCACGCTCGTGGTTTAAGTCCTAAGCTCTGGGGAGGCTCATGGTGCAGCAACAGATAACCACACGGTACAGGCGGGCAGGGCGGGAGGACGCCTGCCCTGGGCTCAGACACAGGCTCTCCTCTCACATCTGCGTACTTCTAGAGCAAGCTAAGAGACCTCCCCAAGTTGTCATAAGGACAAGATGCAAAGTGCCGAAAGCACCAAATAGAATACCTTTCCTGACACACAGAGGCTGCTCGGGAATAAGCAGCAGAACTGCACTCCACCCCTAAACCCACCTTGTCAGCACCGCCAACCCCAGGGGGGTCCCATCCAACCAGCCCTGAGCAGGGAATGAGGTGATGCCACCGCGACTGGCCCAGGGGAAAGTCTGTCATCTCAGAAGGCCAGGCAGAGGCTGCTGATGCTCTTTACGCCAGGGGAGTTCAACGTCAGGCTGCAGAGCGCTGGCTGAGAGGAGCCCCCACCCTCACGCAGCAGCAGTCATCAAAAGTGACATTCTCAGGGGGAGGTGCTGGACCAACACCACCACTGTCCAGGACATCTTCATTAAGGACGTGGGCCAGTGGCCAACTCCCTAACTCTTCCCCCTGCAGGTCTGCAGAACCGGAGGCCATAGAGGTGCCGCCACAGCTTACCCGTCACACAGAAGCGCCACGCAGTTCTCCTGGCACCAGAACGCAATCCTGGATGCAGCAAACCTCTGAAAGAAGCAGCCCATTAATTTCACGCCAGCTGCAGGGGCCCGACGCTGGGCGCTCTGATCCAACAAGAGCAAAACCGAAGGACGCTCACGCCCCCACATACCAAGGAAGAGGAAATAGCGCTGGAATCAGCAGAGAAAGGAGGGTAGCTGATTCCCTGTTTCCCATGCAGATGACAAAAGCCCCCCAGTGGCTCTGGCACTCCCTACAGGGCCTGTGACAGCCTCCAAAGCCAACAAAATGGGTCAGACAGTGAGGAGAGGAGGGAGCGGAGGACACAGGGAAAGGAAGAGACGAGAGCTACACACACCACTGCCCTGGGAGCTCCCATACTTCCTGGCAGAGGAAATAGTAAAAATGAAGAAGAGGCCGGGCACAGTGGCTCACGCCTTTAATCCCAGCTACTCAGGAGCCTGAGGGGGAGGTTGCTGTGAGTCGAGATAGCACCACTGGACTCCAGTCTGGGCAAGAGTGAGACTCCATCTCAAAAAAAAAAAAATTTTTTTTAAATGAAGGAAACTTCCAGGAACCTGAGTCCATGTGAAGCATGGAGGAAAAGGCCTGGTCCTCTCTTACACGGCTGCCTGGCAGGGGGCAGAGGCCACACCACACAGTTCTCTAGGAAACAGAACAGACCATTTGGTGGGAAACTTCGCCAAGGCCTGGGCTTTCAGGGCATCATGAGATTGCTCCAAGCTGGCCGGAGAATGCTGGGGTGGGCCTGGTCCCACCCCTACCCCACCTGGCTGGCAGACCCACAAAGGTGCATGCTCAAGCACTTCTACTCCTTCCACTTCAGAAAAGGATTAGAGGTCTTCCTGTATGTTAACTGTTTGCATGCAACGGTGAGACAAACTATTTCCCACTGACGTGACTAGCCACCTTCAGAATTTGAAATATGAGATTTCCCTCACACAGGAAGAAGTCTGGCATTGAGAGCAAACGTTTCCAATGGCGAAGTGCCTTTTCACTCAAGCCAAGCGACTGCAGGTGCCTACAAGCACTCAGTCGCCCAGGAGTGAACAGAAGCAACTACCTGGGGGGCCTGGGGGTCCACCAGCTCCTGTAGATTGGCCAGGTGACAGCAGTGCAGCTGGCGGCCGCTCCTGTACTCCCAGAGCCTCAGGGTGCCGTCCTGCACACACCAAACACACAGGTTAGCACACGGTCGCAGGGCTTCCGTCAGGCAAGGTGACAGAGAGGACAGCTGCATGTGGTCAGGGGTCCACTAGTGACAGCCATGCCACCCACCTTCAGGAATTAAAGGCTCTCTGCTCGGACTGCGTAAATCACTCATGCAAATCATCAAGAACAAGAGTGGGGAAAGGAAAGTGACCGACTGCCTGTTTCTTGAGTGCCAATATGCCCAGGCAGATGACAAAGGCAATGAGGCAGAACCCAGCAAAATGAGCCAAGGCCACCAGACGGCCAGGTTGTCATCTGCCAGGAGGCCAGACCACATCTGCTGTGCCCGGGCCAGGCGTAGACAAGGGAATGCACACAGGTGCAGACACTTCACTTCCCACAGGGAGACACGCGTGGCCTCACGAGCGCGTGGCCACTGTTCCATTTCACTAAGAATGACAGGAAGGACATGGTCATCGGCAACCATTCCATGGCGACTGGTACAACCCTTCGGGAAGCCAACACGGGAACCAAGAGCCTCCACGCTCTAAAACCACCATAAATGGAAAAAAGGGTTTCTCTTTTTTTCTTGGTTTTATCTGTTGCTATTTTTTTGTTTAATTGAAATGGGGTCTATGCCACGCGGCCCACTGCAGTGCAGTGGCTATTCACAGGCTTGCTCCCGGCTCACTGCAGCCTCTGACTCCCAGGTCCAGGCAATCCTACTGCCTCAGCCTCCGAGTGGCTGGGACTACGGTAGGAGCCACCACACCTGGCTTAAAAAAATTCATTACAGCACTAATGAAGTGGAGAGAAATAAATCAATACTCACTAAATCTAATGAGAGAGTGTCTGTGCACTACCTGTGAGTATTTTTAAAAGACTAAATGAAAAAGATGAAAAGTAAATACCCCAAACAGCTAACAGTAGATGCATATCCTCTGGGTGCCAAGGTAAGAGTGGATGTATGAATGCACACACACACACAGGCGCACACACACACACACGCACACACACCTTGCCACAAATGTGGCAGATAAACATGGAGACTAACACACACATCTACAGGCATTTCACTCACCTCCAAACCTCTCTACGATGACAAGAAAAAGATATTTAATAACCATGAACCCACTAAGACAAAGACAACAGGTAAGTAGAGAAGGCAGCCGCGGAGAGACGACAAGGAAACCTGGGGACTAGAGGCCGGGGAACAAACACGCCAGCCACAGAGAAGCCCGAGAGGTGCCAGGACCTTCCAAAGACCAAACTGGGCCAGGCAGCTGAAGGCCAAGGTGGTGAGGGGAGCTGTCAAATGTCTTTCCAAAGAGAAGCAGGACCTCCCCGATGCATCCTCAGCCCCAAACTCCAGGCCAGCAGAAGGCTCTGGGGAAACGGAGCCGAGAGGCCCTGTCTCGGGGATGCCAAATACCCACTGAGGAGAGGGCCACCTAGCCCCTTCGCGCTCACCTCCCAGAGCCCCAGGGGACAGACCTGGGCAAGAGTGAAGGCCGGGACACTGACTACCCAGAAGAGACCGACTGACCCACATGTTCTACGGGGTCCACAGGCAAGGGGCTGCTGCCCACACTCAGACACCTGCTCTGAAGCCCCTCGGGCCCCATCCTGGGCGCACGCATCCAGCCTCTGAGGCCAGCTGGTGCTGATTCCCACCACACACAGGCAGATGGGATCACCAGACATCCGACGAAAACCTCCAATGAGAAAGGCGGCAACACACTCCAGAGAAGGGAATCAAACACAACGCCAGGAACAAATCGAAGAAAGACAAGCCCATGCTCATCTCAGGAGATAAGAGACACGTGCGCTATCCGAGAATGGGTGGCTGCAAAAAAGAACGTGCCGAGGGCAAGAAAGAACTGAAGATTCAAAATAATCCTAATAAAACTCAAGTCTCCACAGAAGGCTGGAAGTAAAGCTGAGGCAATCTCCCAAGTAAGACTATTCCTAAAGGAGTAGAAACACGAGATTGAACAGGAAAGAAAAGAAATCAGAGAATTATGGCCAGGCATGGTGGCTCTCGCCTATAATCCCAGTAGGTGGAAGTGGGTGGATCGCTTGAGGTCAAGAGTTTGAGACCAGCCTGGCCAACCTGGCAAAACCCCATCACTACAAAAGTATAAAAACTGAGCGGGGCGTGGTGGTGTGTTGCCTGTAATCCCAGAGACTCGGGAGGGCTGAGGTGGGAGGATTGTGCGAGCCTGGGAGGCAGAGGTTACACTGAACCGAGATCACGCCACTGCACTCCAGACTGGGTGACAGAGCAAGACCCTATCTCAAAAAAAATAAGAATCAGAGAATTAAAGTGGTTCAACTAACACAAGCTTTAGAAAAAGCCAGCAGGAAGCGGGGATAGAGAACAGAAAGCAATTACGTAAGAAAATGCCCCAGGTCGGAGGACACTGGAGATCACTGGCTGCACAGCCAATTCCTCTCCGGGGTCCACCAAGTCACCTCAGTGGCTTCGACATTGCACACTGGGGCAGAGAAGGTCCTCCAGGCAGGACAGCCCCGCTGTCACCCCACGGACCCACAGCAGACGGCTGCAGGCTTCTACGGGAAGAGCGCAGGGAAGCCCACAGGAGCAACCAGCGGGAGAGCAGAGCGGGCAAGGCCTCTCAAGCTCCGAGGTAAACCATTTCAACCAGGACTTGTCCGCCAAACTAACAACCAGGCCTCAAAAGGAGATTAAAGGTATTTCCAGAAAGGCAAAGTCAGAAAACACACTCCTCCTGCCTTCTGGCAGCGACCAGATGACACATTCCACTCAAACAAAGCAGAAAGCCATGAGGGACAGATGGGGCCTGGGGAGGCCTCTCTGCCCGTGGAAGATTCTCCTCACTATCATGAAAAAGACTGGAAGGTGCACAAAAAAACGCTGACGAAGCCTGACCCTGACCCTGACCCTCTGGGGACTGTGGCCACACTGTTCTTCTTCTCTCAGGGCACATGGCTGTGCGTTAATTTAAAGAGCAGGAACAGGAGGCTTCGAACGAAGCCCAATCAGGGAAGAAATGTAGGAGCGGCCGGAAGGTCCATCAGCCGTCCTGCCACACCACACAAGGGACCAACACAGACAACACAGGGAAGGGCAGCGGAGAGGAAGGTGGTGGGACGCGGGCAACAATTCCGCGAGAGGACAGAATCAGACCCTGTGCGGAATCCGAGGCCCTCACTTTGGCAAAATCACTAACAGTCCTTCTACTGTATTCCTCAGGGGAAACACGTCTCTCATCACTGGACTGTAAGGCTGCCAGGACCCAGCCGCTGGGACGCAGAAGTTGCAGCCAGCAAGTAAACACGCACTGTGGTAACCCGGGTGCAGGGGCTTGAACCTGTGGTCCCAGCTACTTGGGAGGCCGAGGAGGCAGATCGCTCGGGCCCAGGAGTTTGAAACCAGCCTGAAAAAATGTAGCAAGACCCCATCTCAAAAAGAAAAAAACAATGCAGCCCGTAATGGGATGGACTGAGACCCCCTCCAGGAGTCAGAGAGGCCCCCATCTACGGTGTCTACCTGAGATCCTGATCGCCGATACTATTGCAGATGGAGCAGCCGCCCTCTCAGAAGGGAGCCTTCCACACACCTGTTCTAGTTCATCCCACGTGTGAACACATGCACCTGCACACGCCCCACACACAGTCCTGAATGAGCAGCATGAGCGGGGAGCGAGCCGCAGGCAGCTCTAAGATTCGAAAACAAGCACCATCTAGTGGACAGCCGCGGACATCCAGGGGCCAGCGATCCAGAGGGGCCGGTTCCAGGAGACGCCCACCCCGCCGCCCCCCGCAGGCTCAAGAATCCAGAGGGGAGTGACGCTGGGCAGAACACTTACCCCAGAGGAGGACAGAAGCAGTCCGGGCTGAGTGGGCACCACGGAGATGCGGCTCACAAACCTGTGGGGGCGAGAGAGAGAAGCAGAGCCAGCTAGCCCGGCACCCGCGGGGACGGGAAGGCCTGGGGAAGCCGCCTGTTCATCTAAGGAAGAGAAGCCTCTGCCCCAGACCCCCTGACCCAATAAAAACAGCCAACATGGGAAGTATCTGCTGACCCTAACCTGGTTAGGGCTAACCAGGTGAAGGCCCCTGGACACGATCGGGGAGGTGAGTGAGGTCATTCCTGGGTCCCCAACAGCACAGCAAGCTCTAACCCAGGCTGCTCCTCAGCCATGCCTGCCAGAGACCCAAGCACCCCTGTGCCCCTCTGCAGCCCCCTCTGCAGCAGCTCTGCTCAGCGGCACCTCCACAGGCCCCCAGCACCCACCCTGGCCCAAGGCACCTGCACTGTGATGAAAGGAGCCTTGGGGGAGACCCAAAGACACAGCACACAGGGAGGAGGGAGGAGGGAGGAGGGAGGAGAAGCAGCCAAGCCCCCAGACACATTCCTATCAGGGTCCGACAGCCCCTCAGCAACAACTCTGAGTGACCTGGCCAGAGAGCTGTCTCTGCTGAGCCCGGCCCAGTCCTCCTGTGAGGGCTCGGCCTGCAGCTGCACAGGAGCTGATAGGCACCCTCCCATCAGCACAGCCACGAAGAGTGACCCGAGCAGCCCAGCTCGCCCGGAAACCCATCTGGCTCGGGCACCTACAAGGGTGACAAGGCTCCTTTTCTTCCCGCTCTAACAGTGACCTCAAGCAATCCCTCATGCACGGGGTTCCCAGGGACCCTGGAATGGGGTGGCTCGTGAGCCTCACTCCATCTCCGCCAGTCATGGCCTCTGCTACCTTGAGCTAGCCATGGCATGAGCTGGGCCCAGTCCTGCAGCCACCGCCCTGCACGGCACCACAGCAGTGACAGCAGCCCACGGCCCAGGACAGATAGGGCACAGGACGCCCCATGCAGAGGGTACGAGTGGCCTCACAGTTCTCAACAGTTTGAAAGGGGTTTCACCATGGGTTTGAAACAAAAATCTCAAAAAATTCTTCTTCTAATCACTGCAGTATCTACTGAGTGCCCACTCATGCCAGGCACCACGCTGAGGGCTGCACACAGCAACAGGCCCAACCGACCCCCAGAACCACTCAGACGCAGCGGGAGTCGGCCAGTGAACCAACCGATACTGCAGTGTCAGCAAAGGGTACGGAACAGCGCCATCCAGCAGAAACGCAGCTCCAGCCACACACGGGGGCCACGGGGGTTTGTTTTCAACTTGCCAGCCACTGTGTTGAAAAGTAAACGAGCAGGCCGGGCGCAGTGGCTCACGCCTGTAATCCCAACACTTTGGGAGGCCAAGGCAGGAAAATCACGAGGTCAGGAGAGCAAGACCAGCCTGGCCAACATAGTAAAACTCCATCTCTACTAAAAATACAAAAAAAAGTAATCAAGTGTGGTGGCAGGAGCCTGCAGTCCCAGCTACTTGGGAGGCTGAGGCAGAAGAATTGCTTGAACCTGGAAGGCGGAGGTTGCAGGGAGCCAATATCGCACCACTGCACTCCAGCCTGGGCAACAGAGGGAAGGAGAAAAGAAAGGGAGGGGAGGGAGGGAGTGGTGGGGAGGGGAGGGGAGGGAGGGAGGGAGGGGAGGGGGGAGGGGAGGGAGAGGGAGGGGGGGAGGGGAGGAGGGGGGAGTGGTGGGAGGGAGGGAGGTGGGGAGGGGGAGGGAGGGAGGGTGGGAGGGGAGGGGAGGGAGGGAGTGGTGGGAGGGGAGGGGAGGGAGGGAGTGGTGGGAGGGGAGGGGAGGGAGGGAGTGGTGGGGAGGGAGGAGGGAGTGGTGGGAGGGGAGGGAGGGAGTGGTGGGGAGGGGAGGGGAGGGAGGGAGTGGTGGGGAGGGGAGGGGAGGGAGGGAGTGGTGGGAAGGGGAGGGGAGGGGAGGGGGAGTGGTGGGGAGGGGAGGGAGGGAGTGGTGGGGAGGGGAGGGAGGGGAGTGGGGGGAGGGGGGGGAGGGGAGGGGAGGGGAGGGAGGGAGTGGTGGGGAGGGGAGGGGAGGGGGAGTGGTGGGAGGGGAGGGGAGTGGTGGGAGGGAGGGAGGGAGTGGTGGGGGAGGGGAGGGAGGGAGTGGTGGGGAGGGGGGGGGGGGAGGGGAGGGGGGGGGGGGAGGGGAGGGGAGGGGGAGTGGTGGGAGGGAGGGGAGGGAGGGAGTGGTGGGGAGGGGAGGGGAGGGAGGGAGGGTGGGGAGGGGGAGGGAGGGAGTGGTGGGGAGGGGAGGGGAGGGAGGAGTGGTGGGGAGGGGGGAGGGAGGGAGTGGTGGGGAGGGGAGGGGAGGGAGTGGTGGGGAGGGGAGGGAGGGAGTGTGGGGGAGGGGGGAGGGGGGGGGAGGGGGAGGGAGGGGAGGGGGGGGGGGGGGGAGGGGGAGGGGAGGGAGTGGTGGGGAGGGGAGGGAGGGAGGGAGTGGTGGGGGGGAGGGGGGGGGGAGGGAGTGGGGGGAGGGGAGGGGAGGAGGGAGTGGTGGGAGGGAGGGGAGGGGAGGGGAGGGGAGGGAGGGGGGGAAGGGGGGGGAGGGGGGAGGGAGGGGGGGGGAGGGGAGGGGAGGGAGGGGTGGGGAGGGGAGGGGAGGGGAAGGAGGAGGGAGTGGTGGGGAGGGGAAGGGAGGGAGGGAGTGGTGGGGAGGGGAGGGAGGGGGGAGGGAGGGAGGGGGGAGGAGGGGGGGGGGGAGGGGAGGGGAGGGGAGGGGAGGGGAGGGAGGGAGGGGAGGGGAGGGGGAGGGGAGGGGGGAGGGGAGGGGGAGGGGAGGGGAGGGGAGGGAGGGAGGGGAGGGGAGGGGAGAGGAGGGGAGTGAGGAAGGAAAAGAGCTGTTGAAGTTAATTTTAATACTATGTTTTTACTCAATATATCCAAATGATGAGGCATTTCCCTAGAGGGGTGGGAAGTGTGTTCCTGTCAGCAGAAGCCTCCCTCACGTGCCTGGCGAGGCAAGGGAGCTGCAGACACCCCAGCTAGAGATGGCGAAGGGGAGGGGCCCAGGGGCGGCAGTCCAGAGAACTCCGGAGCTGGATCACTAGGGAAGTAAATGCAAGTCAGAATAAGCTATCCTGAGGCACACATCAGTGACTGGCCTTCTTAAACAGGGAAATGTTTGCATCCGTTCAAAACCAGGAAAACGTAGGCAACCTCGGCATTGAATTCCCTCCCTCCAATTTCTTCCACTGCCTCAAATAATGTATTTTAAAACATTTCAGCCGGGCCGGGCGCGGTGGCTCAAGCCTGTAATCCCAGCACTTTGGGAGGCCGAGACGGGCGGATCACGAGGCCAGGAGATCGAGACCATCCTGGCTAACACGGTGAAACCCCGTCTCTACTAAAAAATACAAAAAACTAGCCGGGCGCGGTGGCAGGCGCCTGTAGTCCCAACTACTCGGGAGACTGAGGCAGGAGAATGGCGTGAACCCGGGAGGCGGAGCTTGCAGTGAGCTGAGATCCGGCCACTGCACTCCAGCCTGGGCGGCAGAGCGAGACTCCGTCTCAAAAAAAAAAAAAAAAACAACATTTCAGCCAATTATACTAAGCACTTTTCCTCTGTAAATTCTAATGAGCCTTTTGTGAGAGAGAGAGAAGCGGGCATTCAGGAACACCTCCACGCGGGTCCTGGCAGAACTTGTTTTGTGAGAGAGAAGCGGGCACTCAGGAACACCTCCACGTGGGTCCTGGCAGAACTCGCTGCCACGAGAGGCCGCCGCCGGGCCGCAGAGGCTGCTTAATTCTTGGATAGCTGAAATCATGGAAGTTCATCCTCGCCCCCAACACACCCACCGCCCACCACCCAACAACGGCCGGGCATGGCGCAGGGGTCTCCACACTGAGACAGGGGTTTCCCAGAAACAAGCCCTCCCGTTCGGTCAGAACCAATGGGAAGTCACCACACAGACTACAGGTAACAGCGCAGAGTGAACCCCACCCTTTCAGGGCTTCTGCAGGCAGCACCCACGGCGCCTGCAGTGACCAAGCACCAGGGCTGCTGTCACCTGTGTGGGGCCTCGCCAGCTACAGTGGCACCTGCTGAGCTGCAAGCTGATGCTGTTTTCAAAAAGAGCTTCTTTCTGCTGGAGGGGCAGGAAGGGGCACTCACTCTGTGTGCCCCAAGCAGAAGGACTCGATGCTGTGGGGCGCCGCGGCCCAGCTGACTCGGATCTTCTCGTCTCGGTCGGCAGTGAGGATGAAGCGGTCATCAGGACTCACAGCCTGCATCACCAGGGGCCAGAAAAGAAAAAGATGCTCACCTGAGTCGTCCTGAATCCAGTCCCTCATGGAAGCAGGCAGGGAGGCTGCAGCCTGGCTGCCAAGAGGACGCGGCCTTCGAGGACAGACCAGCTTGGCTCCTCCCCTCCTCCTGTCCCTGCGTCTAATCGCTGGCCCTCCTTCTCCCTCCCCAGAGGGTCCCCGACCACCTCCAGCCCTCACTCCTCAGTGCTAGAGCAGGCTTCTGGGGTAGGGCTGGGCCACCCCGTCTGCCCGTCTCCCGCATCTCGGCAAATCCAGGCCCCACTCCCATTTCCACCCACCCCAGGCCTGCTGCACCCTCATGCCCAACACTGGGTTGCCTTCCTGTCACACATGTCCCCACACCCAGCTGTCACCAAGTCCCAGTGAGGTTCCCTTGATACCCCGCACTCGCCACTGTTCCTGACTGTCCCTGCATGCGTCCAATCCCAGCTCTACCACCCAGGCTGTGGGCCTGGGCCCTCTGGAGCTCCACATGTTTGTCTGGACACATGGGGCAGGCAGAATGGGGTGACAGGGGCTGCTGGGAGCAGTGCTGAGGTGATGTTCCTACAGCACCTGGCACAGCTCCGGGCCAAGGAGGCGAAGCCAGAGGCTCGTGGCTGCACCTGCTCCTCCCACACCTTCACTTCCCATCTGGGGCCACCCCACTGGCCACCTCCTGCCTCACCTGCCTTCTTCGTTCTCCCTGCTGCCTGCTTCATCTTCCTAAATCCTGTTCCCACCACTCCCCTGCTCCCAAATCTGCAGAAGGCTATCCCTGCTATGGGGGAGCCCCACTCTCCCCACCAGATGCTGGGGTGCAGACCGGGCAGATACTGACTCAGCCTGTACCCCACATACCATGCCCCCCAAGTACTGCGTCTAACAGCATGGACAGGTGCCCCACCTGCCTGAGCCTTGACAGGGCAGACATTGACTCAGCGCATGCCCCACGTACCGCGTCCCCCATGTACCGCGTCCTGCACCTACCATGTCCCCCACCTACCACATCTAACAGCATGGACAGGTGCCCCAGCTCTAGATGGCCACACCCGTGTGGCTCCAGCACCGAAAAGGAGTAGACGTCTCCAGACTTGTCGGCCACCAAGACCTTCTCCTCAGAGGCTATGAAGGTCAGGGCTGTACACCTCCTCGCCACAGTCCTAGAAGGCCAGAGACACCCCCATTAGCTTCCAGAAGCAGCGCAAGGTCCTTGACAGCCCTGCAGGCCCTGTGGGCAGTGGTAGGCACCGGTACCTGACCATATGCTCTATTTTCCAGCTGCTGAAGATGGTGCCAAAAAAATTAAACAATGCTAACAACTGGAACAAAGCCAGTGCCTTTGACAAATTTACTTTCACAACATTTTTCTTTAAGAAAATTGCGGCCGGGCGCGGTGGCTCAAGCCTGTAATCCCAGCACTTTGGGAGGCCGAGACGGGCGGATCACGAGGTCAGGAGATCGAGACCATCCTGGCTAACACGGTGAAACCCCGTCTCTACTAAAAAATACAAAAAACTAGCCGGGTGAGGCGGCGGGCGCCTGTAGTCCCAGCTACTCGGGAGGCTGAGGCAGGAGAATGGCGTGTACCCGGGAGGCGGAGCTTGCAGTGAGCTGAGATCCGGCCACTGCGCTCCAGCCTGGGGGACAGAGCGAGACTCCATCTCAAAAAAAAAAAAAAAAAAAAGAAAAAAAGAAAATTGCTCCTAGCCGAGCACGGTGGCTCACGCCTGTAATCCCAGCACTTTGGGAGGCCGAGGCGGGAGGATCATGAGGTCAGGAGATTGAGACCATCCTGGCTAACACGGTGAAACCCCATCTCTACTAAAAATACAAAAAATTAGCCGGGCGAGGTGGCAGGTGCCTGTAGTCCCAGCTACTCAGGAGGCTGAGGCAGGAGAATGGCATGAACCTGGGAGGCAGAGCTTGCAGTGATCCGAGATGGCGCCACTGCACTCCAGCCTGGGTGACGGAGCGAGACTTCGTCTCAAAAAAAAAAAAGAAAAGAAAATTGTTCCTGATGGTGGGATCTAGGAGGTGGATAAAAGGGTGACAAAATCCTCAACTTTCCTGTGTGTTTGAAAACTGTCATCAAGAAATGGGGGAATGGTTCCTTGACCCCACAGTCTTCATTGTACATTGAGGGAGACAACGGCCCTCTCCATAAATGCTGAGTGTGCTGGGGGCCACTGTCAAGGACAAAGGCAGGCACCAGCCTCCAGGGCCCCCCAAGCCTTGCTGCTCCCCTGACCTGCACTGACCCCTGCTATCATTCTGCTGCGTCGGACCAGGAGCCTCAGACAGACAGCCATGCCCCGTGCCCTGCAGAGGGATGGAGGGGCCCGGCCACCCTCGGCGCAGGACCCAGCCCAGGGCAGCAGTGCGGCATCACCCTACCCTCCTTGGGAGGAAGCGCCGCTACCCAGCGCGTGAGAGGCCTGCGCTCCCCACAGTCCACATCCAGATCAGCACATCCACGAATCTAACCCTGACCCAGAGCCACGGATGTGCCAGAGTTCCAGATGCAGCACGTCTGCACACTCGTTCTGTAAGAACCAAAGTCTCAGTTCGCTCCCTCTCCTTCACCAGGGCTCAGGGCTACACTACTTCCTGGGGCTCTCATTTCCACACCATTTCTACTGGAATCATCCTGTATTTGTGTCCTTTCCACAAGGCAGGGACCCTGTGTTCTATTTTACATAGATATGAGTTGTAACACTGCTTCCCACACACGCAGTTAGCCACAGGGCCTCACCGTAGAACAGCGGCTAGCCCTGCTTCACCACCCCCAGGGCTGTGGCGGTGCACACTGCCCAATACACAGCCAACACCAGGCAGACAAGTATAGCGTGCCCGGCCCCCTGCGGCTGGAAATGCAGATGGAAGCTTCAGGAATGCTGTCCTCAGCAAGGCCCCTGTTTCTCTCAGGGGCAGAGGGACAAAAGGACAGAAAAGGGCAGGCAGGACCTTTGGGTCACAGCCCAGCCTGGAAGCAGCGCCCCTCCTCCTCCCCCGCAGCTGTGCCGCGCAGCTGCAGAAAGGAGGCAGAGGGGAAGCGTAACAGGGTAAACACCGAGAAAACAAGGACAAAGAAAGATCATTACGCTCTAGGGCAAGATTAATCAGAATTCTCAGGGTGCACTGTAATTTAAACAAACAGCCCTGCACTGCGCCAGCAACACAGCCCCCAATGTCCGATGGGCTCATTAAGCAGCTGCCACGAACACGACCATGGTGGCACAGAGGAGCAGCCCAAGAGGACGCCACGGGGAGAGGAGATGCACTTGGACTCACGGGGCGCTCATCCCCACAGTCAGGCTGGAAGGCGCGTGGCACAGATGGCCCCCAACACCGCGCCTCCTGCCCAGCTCAGCAGAGGGCACTGCTCCTCGTCCCTTTGTCCTGCCCCAGCCGGAGGCTCCCAGCCTCTCCAGCTGGGCTTATCCTGGCACCGATTCTAGGACGCAGCTGAGCCGTACTCATGGGCTTGGGTGCCAGGATCCGAGGGAGGTCACAGAATGGGGCAGGTCATTGGACCAATGGCAAGCCGGCCTGTCACCCTAGCTGAGGCACAACCCCACCCTCAGACCACCAGCCTGTGCAGGGTCTCGGGTCTCAGCACTCCCTCCACAGTCACTGGGTTCAGGACCCAGAGACCAGCAGAACTCAGCAAGTATTCGCCCATCTCCACAGGCCCCCCAGGGGGGCCAGGCCCTCTGTCCTCTGCCGGAAGTCGAGTGGTTGAGCCCTGAACCCCCAGACTGAGTTGGCGCTGCCCCGAGCCCCCCTCCAGAGAGCCACCTGGGCAGCCCCAACAGGGCACTGAGGACGCCAGGGGCCATCCACACCCACACTCCAGCAGCCAGGCACTCTCTCTCCATCCGACGGGCAGAGCGAATCGGATAGTTTCCCGGCTCGGCCTTTCCCACGTGCTGCCGCGGCCCTCACAGGCATTTTCAGAAACACTGACTCCACTGGGAGGATTTCTCCCTCATAAACGCACATGTCAAAATCAATGTATCACTCGTCACCCTGTGTCCTCATCTTCGGTTTGGAAAACCTGGCCTCAGTCTCTCGGGCCAGGAGTCTCCTGACTGCCCAGGTGGCAGGCCCTCTGGCCCTCGCGGTTCTAAACCGCTACCTGGGCAAGAATCGTTGCTGCCCACAACTTCCATCTTGGCTGTGCCTCAAAACCCTTCAACAGGAAGCCTACCAGCAGCAGCACAGTAACTAAGCCACCACTGGACAGAGCCTGGCGTCTCGCCCAGCTCAGGGGCATCCTGCAGCGGTGCAGGGCCTCAGTGAAATGCACACAGGCCACGAGTACATGGAACCTCTAAAACTGAATGGAGGTGGATGTGCAAAGCGTAGGTGGTTTTCTGGGGAGAGGGTGCATCTGATCTAAGAGTCTGCGTAAAAAGCCTCCAGGTGTGGGGAGCAGCCCCATGTTTGCGGACCAGCCACAGGGTGCTGCCTGCCAGCTCAGCATGGTTCCACTCACCCCCGTCCTCTCCTTGAAAGCAGCTCCTGATAAAACTCACCCTATGCTCTTCTCCCTGCCCCACTCTCATCCCCCAAATGTACTCCTCCTGCCACAATAATCCCCTCCAATTTCTCACTGAGAGAAAGGGTAAAGATTTCACTCCACCTGATGCTGAAAAGTTTACAAACCCACAATTCTAAAGGAATTTTAAAAAGATTATTGAGGAATTTACCAAGGGATGTTGAAAGTGGCAGTAACTTCACACCTGTGCCCACTGTCCTGCAGTTCAACTAGAGAAAGGGGAGGCGGCAACGCGTGCCCTACACCAAGGTCAGGAGAAATCCCAAGCACACCATCGAGGCCGGAGTTTGTAATTTGCTGCCTGGACTGCATCAAATCACAGGGTCCGTCTTCCATACCACCTAAGGCAAACATTTCCTACACGAAGTTATACCGCTGACATCACTTTCAAAACCAAGAGTAGGCTGGGAGCAGTGGCTCACGCCTATAATCCTAGAGGTTTGGGAAGCCAAGGTGGGCAGATCACCTGAGGTCAGGAGTTCAAGACCAGCCTGGCCAACGTGGCAAAACCCCATCTCTATAAAAATACAAAAAATTAGTCAGGCATGCTCGTTCATTCCTATAATCCCAGCTACTCATGAAGCTGAGGCAGGAGAATCACTTGAACCCAGGAGGCGGAGGTTGCAGTGAGCCAAGACCACGCCACTGCACTCCAGCCTGGGTGACAGAGAGACGCTCCACTCCACAAAAAAAAAAAAAAAAAAAAAAAAACAGTGAACTCACAGGTAAAGGGTCACTGCCAGGAGCCAGCCTCTGCTCCTTGCTCACACGCCGCAGGCTGCCCATCCCTCATCCCAAATGCGTGGGACCAAAAGTGCTTTGCACTTCAGATTTGTTCAGGTTTTGGAATATTTGCAAATACTTACTGGCTCAGTATCCCTAACCTAAAAATCCAAAATCCAAAACATTCCGGTGAGCATTTCCTTTGAGCATCTTGCCTGTGCTCAAAAAATTTCAGATTTTGGAGGATTCTGAATTTCAGATTAGGGGTACTGAGTGCACTGCCCACTCTTGGACTTGTGCTTTTTGTGTTTTTTTTTTTTGTAGAGATGAGATCGCACTATGTTGAGGCCAGACTGGCCTCGAACTGCTGGCCTCAAGCAATCTTCTCGCCTTGGCCTCTCAAAATGCTGGGACTATAGGCGTGAGCTACCATGCCAGCCTCCCAGAGTTTTACCAGGTGTTTACATAAAGAGAATCACACCAGCACACGACCTTCAAAAAGGGGAGTCAACACAGCAAGACATCTCCCTCTCGGCAAAGCACCTGCAACCAAGATGAAGAGGCCCCGCCCCCCACCAGGTGGCAGCGGTGTCTGCACCCACCGTGAGTCCCGAATCACGGAGCTCCCAACCTCAAACGGCCTCCTCCGAGAACCTCAAACCTCCTCCGAGAACCTCAAACCTCCTCCGAGAACCTCAAACCTCCTCCGAGAACCTCAAACAACCTCCTCCGAGAAGCCGACTGCACAGGCAACCACATTGAGGGGAGAGAATTCTAGATTCCTCCCTGCTCCGGGCCATGCACGATGCCAGGAGCAGAGGCCCCGTCCCTCTGCAGGAGTCAGAACCCCTGGAGGAGCCCTGGGCCTCCGCGCTT